GGGGGGGGGGGGGGGGGGGAGGGAGGGAAGACTCACTATGAATGCATCTCACCAAAAACTAGAGATGCATTTATTCGGTCTGTAAGACACGCACGACATACACCTTCAGCATGTACGCATCGCATCTTAGAAGACCAGCGCCACGCCCGTGGACAAACACGGGGCAACGAAATAGTAAAATAGCATATTATATCATTAGTCAATATTGTATTCTATTGCTCGCACCGAGAGAGCACCTCACACCAAACAGAGCACTTCGACCCTGTCAGCCATGAAATCCAACTCCCCGCCCAATATTGCATCACCGTCCTCGTCTATCTTCCCCATACATTCCTTAGGTACATAGCGCTTAGGAGTGTACTGGTGGCAGCGGCGAATGTCGGTGCCATCAGTAGCCAACCACAGCGACTCACCCACGCCCAACTTTTCATCCGCCCCGCCCACCCTCACACCCTTCCTGCAACGAATCGGCTTCGGTTTCATGAAGTGACCATTGAGCGAGAAAAGACGCACAAATGTCTCGTACTCATGGCTCTTGGTCAGGTCCTCCTGGGGGAGCTGCAGGCCGCCTTCGATGTATGCGCCGAAGACGTAGCTGTCTTTGTAGATGACGACGAGCAGCTTCTCCTGGTCGCCAACATGCTCGACCATGTTGTCAAACGATGTGCCGTGCTCATCCGACCTGTGTGACAGACATACAAGGGGAGAAAATATTGCTTGATTGTGTATTTGTGACCTACCGGTAGAGTGATCGTGTTGTAATTTCGTTCTCGAACAAGCTGCGCAGCCCTAGGGCGCGAAGGACTGGAGTGGTGTCCGTAGGCAAAACACGGCCAAAGTTCTGCACAACTCCATCATCAAGGCAACATGAGCATGAGGGAGAGGAGCCTCGCTGGAGCTTCTTGTGCGTACTTTCAGCCATTTCTGGCAGTACTGCGGCCTGTCCAGCTCAATGGTTTCGACCCTCCACCTGGTCCTATACTCATCTCTGCGTACAGACACGCCACACGCACAGACGCGCCCATGTGCTGCCGCCCCTGCGCGTGTGTCTGTGTCAAGGCATATTTGTGTGGGTCCGGCCTACGCGATGTTGTGAGAGAATCCGACCACGACGACCCGCAGCCCCTGCTTGGAGCATTTGTGGACGCCTTCGTGGAAATCCTTGTCACCAGCAAATCTGACGGAACCGAAACGAAAAAAGAGCGTATGCATGGCGGTCATAGCCCCCC